TGAAGCACCTAAAAAATGTTTTACGATGCCAAGACTGACTAAAGGCCGCACGGCAGGCGGTGAGAATTAGACGACGACAGCGACACGAAAAAGCGAGGAGGGAAGGGAGAAAGAAAAAGAAAAAGAAAGAAAAACGATAAAATCAGTGTTATGTTTGAGTGTTCGGTAGAGAGATTTAAATGACCCGTGGATTTCCCGGAATAGAGAGGAAATATGTATTTTAAAGGACTTGTTGATTTATCGCCAGTATAGTAGACGAACTCACGCGACACACGACACGTTGTTTTTAGGTAGGGGAGGCTTTTTACAAATGCGCAAGAGAATAAATATATTATATATAAATATACATATTATACGTATCACGTATATACAGAGGATTCCACATTCCACTCGACGAACGGAAATCGGGGTCAAGTTTTACGTAGATAGATTACTTGACGACGTAAACGTAGTCCGTGACCGTTCAGATCTCGCGAATTAGAAAATACATCATTTCGTAATTGCAATAAACCGTTTTCTATTTTGTAGAGAAATAAACAGTTGTCTAAATTTATCTAGACTGGACACTCTTACTTTACTTCTTTAAGAACATGCGGTTTCAATTTTTATCGTTAAACGCCTAGCATTTATATAAATATTAAAATAATATATTATTTACATTATTTAAGTAATTATTATAATACATATATCGTCGAAAATATTCGACTTTAATTATTAAATTATTATGATTTATATATCCTAGGTTAATTATAATTAAATATAATACGATCCAGTCAATTAAACTGATAAATCAAGTATTAGTTCCGTTAAGCTTGATTTCAAGATCATCATTTTTATGTTAAAAAAATATGAAATCCTATTTTAAGCGAATTCTATTGTGATTTTATCACACTAATTGTTAATCCGGATTTGAACGCGAATGGACTTCTCACAAAAGTAACGCCTGTGCACGTCTGCGTAACGACAGGATGCAACAGCAAGATTTCCCGCGCAGCGACAACGATCTGCAATCGACGCGGCCGACCCCGATAAATTAATTCGCGTCCGGAAGTGCAACGACGTAGCGTGCACGAAAGCGACAAAAGGGAGAACGCGACGCGCGGACGAGAGTTTTGCGCGAATGAACCTGTAAATAATTCCACACGCGCAGCTAAAATAACGAATTTAATTATTCGTTTTAGAATGTACCATACTATAACTGGACCTAAAAGATCATCGTAACGACCTAATTATCGTAATCAATTCACGGATTAGCCTTCGAACGATGCTCGCGATGCGCATCATTTATTTTTCGCGTGACTCAAGAGAGCGCATTATATGCACGCATATACATAAATAAATATATATATATATACATATACAATATATGGACAACCACACGCACGCATGTCGAGCTAATGATGTGAACGTGTTCTTCCCTTCGGACAGAATAGCTAAGCGCCTAAGTTAATCGACGTGAATTTATTCTTACCTTGTATCGTTGTTGCGATAATTTAAAGACCGTCAAACGTTTCCATCCTTATCTATTTCTGCAAACGAAACACTAACATAGGCTAAAGTGTTACGTAAACGATAAACAAAATCATTTAAAAAAATGCTGTAGCTAAGATTTTTGAAGAATTCCTTGAAGAGGTATTAATTTTGTTTCGTTCCTTGAAAAATTCCGTGAAAAATTTGGTAGAAATACGGAGCGTCCCGGAGGAATCATTAATTCTCGATCTCACGATTCTCGCGGCAATGACACGCGAATGGACGGAGGCAGGTAGCGGAACAGAACAGGCTGGAAATGTTCGGCGGATGTTTACGTGGTTACCACCGGCGGTGCGTGAGCGGCGGAAACGCTTCCTTCCGGTCACGTAAACGTCGTGAAATAAGATCACAGCAGAGCGGGCGCGTAGGACGCCCTCGAGAAATTCCCGTGGTACGCCCCCGCACGTTCGACGACGACGCGCGTTTCCACGAAGTCCCTGATAACGAGTGACGTTGAGAGACACCGTCGAATTTCACTGTTTTCCTACCCAGGAGACCGTAATCCACTTTAGTCGCTGCAGCGGGCGTCATGACGTTTATCGCTTGCCGACGTTGTGCTAATCCCGCGAAAGAAGCGAGTCGATTAGTATAAAAGAAGGCAGAGTGCTTTCTCGTGCTTTCTAAGAAAACATACGAATTTGTTTCAATATCGAACGTTTATCGAAAGGAATGACGATTTATCGCGCAAGCTTGAGAACGCAGTAGAAAATGCAGCGTGTAGTCAGACACCCAGTATAAATGTATATCTATGAAATCAAACGTAACGCTGCGCATTAGAAAGATACAAAAAAAAATCCAATGTATAATACGTTTGCAAGAAAAGGAACAAAAGAAATGTTTATTGCGATGAGGCCAAAAAGGGCTAAACCGCAAAGTTGTCGGGACGAAACTGCACTGTTGGCAATCGAACTCGATCTAAGAAATGCTATTATGATAGTGATTGCAACATAATTCGCGAATATTAGCGAATGCTTCAATAGTTACACAGAAGGAAACAACGATTGCTCGCTTCTATAAGGAGCATCAGACGGGCGATCGATGAAACCTACGCAACGTCCATGATCGTAACGGATCGATCGTAAATCATTCGTTGTTAACATCTCCGGAGACAATGTAATATAAAAAGGCTTGATTCAAACTACGGGCTCAGTGACGCTTCGCAATAACTCAGTATTAACAAATAAGTACATGTCCAATTTCAATCTCGAAAATATTCCAATCAGGTAGACTCGATGATTTAAATATATATTATTTAGATAGAAAAAGTATGTACATACTTTGCGTAGATAATTCGACTTTTTTACGTGTAATATACAATAAGACTGCGTTTTTTATGTATAAGATGTAATTTTTCTTAATTTTATAAGATAATTGTATAATTAAATTTATGTTTATCAACTTACAGATAAATAATAAAATTCTGAATTTACGTAAAAATGTAAATTTTTGTATAAGTTGGAGAATTAACACTCATAAAATAAGTAATTCATGCGTTATTTGACTTAAAAATTTCATAGAATTCATAGTTATAATAAATATGAATAATGTAATAATATGGAAAAGAGTACATAGGTAGTATGTAACAGTATATAGGAACGTATAAGTTAGCGTAAAATTATTTTCTTATGAATATGTTAAAAAAAAGTAGTCTTACTTTCCGGAAAACTTTTCGATGTCTCAATTCAATTAAAAATCCGTCCCTGATAGTGTGAATCAAGCCCCATTAATTTCAGCCCGTACTGACATCCGACATTTACCGCTAAACGTGTCTATCCGATGGTAATAAGGCTGATGAAAAACCATCTTCGTAATGATATAATAGCCAAATGAAAAACAAATTAAAACAACCGTATTCAGCGCTAAATGTGGAGGCTCAATGTGCGGCCTGGAAAAATACGCTTACATGAAATAGCGGCGAACATCGTCGGGTTTCGTTGACCCGTTCTATCGAACATTCTTTGTACGCATATGTTGTAGTTATTTCACGAAAAATCCTAATTACTTCGTGAGAAGCCGGGAATTGACGTAAAATGCAAGAGACACGTTAAAGAATTTTTGAGAACCACCGCAAAAAAGAATTAAATAATAAAGTGTACATCTTTGTACTAAGAATTTTTTGCAATTTATAATATTGCGGCTTTCCACGAATGTAATTAAAAATCGTGAAATACGACGCTCTTACGACATATCGATCGATCGCGATCGCTGTCCAATTGAACCATATCCGCGAGCAATGCGAATATCAATCGCGCGCAATATCTCCGTAATTACACATATCCCTCCCTTTTCGACACGCGAACTTTTGTCTTTTGGAAGGTTTTTTATCCTCCCCGTTTATCTGATCGTCGACATATCGAACCACTGACGTGCCCCGCAAACGAGAACCGACAGACTTAAACGGAGAAAAGCCATTGTTGAACATCTTTATCCTATCGCAATTTTTGCTCATATTTGTAATCGGAGACGAGATAGAGGAGACAACTGAGGAAGGCCATATATGCGCTTCTCGAGACTCAATGAACATTTATTGCGAGTTATATCTAGATATTTTTGATATTCTCAAGGATGTTTCTCTTTTTTACTTGATGCTTTTTTCCTATCGGATCCATTTAGTTTTCCAAGTAGATAAATTACAAGGAAGCGTTAAAGTTATACGTGACAAATATTTATACTGAATGTGAGATTTGTTTAGCATACAAAATTGCCGCTTCGACCGAGTCGAAGGAAGACGCGGACGGGAAGAGAGAAGATACGTTGGCTTCCGTTGCAATATACGACTAACGCTACTGCCAATATAGAGATAGAGACCCTATCGATGTTTTTCTCGGAAGGTGTGTACATTTTGATGAAATATTCATGCGTCATCGAGTGCTGTATCGAACTTGCTGCCTTCGAAAAAGCGAGAGATTCGGCCTCCTATTCTCACCGCTCGTTCAGCGCTAAAGATGACAATTTGCCAGGATATATTGACATGTAAGTGTTTTCGATTCAGCTTTACCAAGCCCGGTATAATTCGTTGCGAAAATTCGTAGCGAAATTTAATCGGCGCATACGCAGCGCTGAATACGCGGTGAAGATACGAGGCTTCAGGTCTGTCCGGCAACACGTTGAAGAAGAAGCTTATCGGAGCTTCCGCTTGGACGGACACTAAATATTCCCATTCAGCGTCGTCGCCCATCATTTTCGCGCGAGAAATATACGCGGCAGGACGCCCCCTTTTATTAATTAATTTTTTTCTTTTTTTACTTTGATATCGTCTTTACTGAGATCACCTGGCGTTCGCTGACCTAAAGTAATCGAGCTACACTGTGTAACAAAGTGCGCGTTGTAAAGTGACTGTATATACAAATATAAATTATGCGATTACCTTCCTTGCTCACATTTCTTTTCTTCCCCCTCTTCTTTAAATCGCCTCTCAATTAAAATCATTCGAAATTCTTCGAAATAATAAGAAAATACGGACATCTTTGTACTAAGAATTTTGGAACTATGTAATTTTATTTAAGTATCTTACATTTTGATAAAGATGCACGGATAATACGGAGTGCTGTGAAAATATCGCAATATTTTTAAAAGGCATGGAATACACGAGATATTAATTATTTATTTCGCGTCAGATATTTCCATAGTTGACAGTCTCAGTGAAATATTCTATAAAAACTTGTACTAAGCGTGCTAATCGTTTTACCGTCACATTAACGTATCTCACTTGCGCCACTCGCGAAAATATTTACACCGATCATCCACACTCATTCATTCTCAGTATACAAAACCGATGAGGCAAATACAAATTATATACTACACTGGTCATTCGTGTTACTGTGGAGTACAAATGAATAAATACAGGCCAAACTGGATCCCTTGAGTCTGACAACCGCGAATGTCAATTGACGATCGGTAACATTAATAGAAATCAGTGAATTTATATTAACTATCCAGCACATCGTTTCGGATTTCCTGAAGTCGTTGATTGTATTCTTTACGAATTTCTTCGACAGGTTTGATTAAAAATATCGGTACATCATCATCTCTCCTCTGTGGGAAAAATTAAATTTAAATTATACAACGGAGTAATAACTATTAAACACTATTAAAAACACAGTAAATTAATTATTAATTTCTATAACTAATTAAATAAAAAAAAGCATTATTCATTCAATTTTACCTGAAAAAGACATTCGCCTTCGAATTCTAAATACTTCTGTTTCCTCGCTCTTAACAACAGTCCTACGCATTTGCTACTAATATTAGTATAAATGTTGAAGATGTCGCCGAACGTGATGGCGATTACGTCAGGTTGATCCCGACAGGGTGTGCCTTCTTGGCTAATAATTTCGCAAAGCTCTAGAATTTCTTTCAAGATATGGGCGTTTGCTTTGCGACCGCGTAAATCGGATAAAGAACCTGCTTCTGGTCTGAGAGAAGCAGGTTAATAAAAAATTAATAATAAATTTATTATTATATAATTAATATAATTATTTTATTAATTTATTTTTAATTTATAAATTACCTAATTATAAATTAATATAAAACAGTTATATTATCATAAATATTGTTAAAAATGTGAAATTTATAATAGTGACAAACTCTAAATTTTACATACCTGCCATATTCTTCTTTCGAAAATTTCGGTTTTTCGATGTTCAAACCAGAAGTGAAAGGATTTTTACTCTGCTTATCTCTATGTTTGTTGGCATATTGGTTGAACATAGCAACCTTGGCTCCTAAAGATTCCTTCAAAAGCGGGAAGACACACATTAATTAATTATTAATTCATTATTAATTTATTAATTAATTCATTATTAATTTATTAAAATATAACGGAGAAATATTTCAATCAAATACAAATTGCTTGCATAAACAAAGTATTCTAGAGTTTCACGTTGAAGAAATTGGAAAAAGGAAAATGAAGAGATAAAATTCATATTTTGGAAAATTTTAGACTCAAGATAGCTTCGACGAAGATTGCACGGAGTTTAGTTATTCGGCAGCTGATCAGACAGGAATTTCTGGGAGTCTGCCAAACTGAGCCTAAGGATTGACCCTGACCATAAATGACGTTTCAATGGCATCTTGACAAATTTTCAAAGTCGCGCGTATAGTTATATATTCATTCGCGCGCTCATATATTCATACAAAAGATAAACGATTTTAATTAAATTCCTTTGTATCTTAAGAAAAAACTTAATTTAAATTGTCAGCTTTTCAAAATTGTTTCCAATTAATAAAAGGAATGGATAGATATGTTTAATTAATAGATTAATGGATTTATATATTTATATGATTTGTTAAAAATAAGTAGATACTATTGTGTCAAATATTAATATTACAAATAGTAATATTACCATGCTTTAAATTATGTGATTTTTATAATAATACAGAGAGATGATTCCAGTAAATATGAATTAAAATAATATATGTGTATTATGCATCCAACATCTCCAGTATCTCTCATCTTAATATTTTCTATTATTTTCTATTATTTATAAAAAGTTATGTTTTTATAATTAACTCTGTCTAGAAATTTCTCTTCAAGAAAACTCAATTTCAAATTATTTCAGAATAATATTGCTAATTTGTTTTCAATGATGTAATCGAAGAAGATTTCTCGATAATACTCACATACATTATCGAAGACATTATAGTATCGCGATTAATCCAACAGAGTTGCAAAAGAATAACGTTGAATGTGTAATAAAAGAAAACGGGTGTTTCACCCAAGTAGTAGAAACTATCTTGAATCGACACCCTACTCTCACTTCCGGTACTCCGGTACCAAGTTCACTCGGCACTGCCGACGCAAATACGACGTCGTCGCGACGCCGCGCGTCTCTTTTTATAAGAAACCGACGGCGTCCCGAGGGCTCCCACCCTGCCGTGATATTTCGGCGCAGTCCGAAATATTTACCACGTTTCCGAGCCGATTCCCAGACTCTTGATTAGCTGCCAGGCGACCTTCTGCACGCACCGGAAATGATAATTCATCAATCGCGAATGTGGAGTCATTCATGTTTTACTCTGTCTTCGGGAATCAGCTCGCAAACGGAACGATCTCATCTCGTTTGTTTACGCGACCGCCTCGTTCGGTGCGATTTTCCCGAATGTGCTAAAGTTTCCCAGAATGTCACTCTCTATTTATCGCCATAAATTCCATTTGCTAATCGTTTGGAAAAACCATAATTTTGAAATTTAATTAAATACAAGAAACGATTTTTTCAAACGTATATCTTTTCATACGTATTTTTTCATACGTATATCTAACTCTTTTCTTTAGATAAAATATAAAATAAATTCATATTATTGCATTTTTTAATTTAAAACCATTACAAATGAATCAAAATAGTTAATATAAATCTTTTTAATAATAGTACAATATTTATTTCTAATTTTTGAAAAAAGAGATCCTAAAATTGCTTTCCAAATTAAAACAAAAAATGCGAAAATATATAGAATTTATTTTATATTTAAAGAAAAAGTATTAGATATATGTTTGAAAAAAAGTTTTCCTGTATTTGTTAATTAAATTTTAAAATTAAGATTTTTTCAAACAATTAGCAAATGGAATTTATTTTGGCGACGAATACAAAGTGACATTCTAGAAAACGTTAACACATTGTTTTTCGATTCGTTACAATAGCAATGAGCCTTTCAAATATACATGTACGAACTGAGAAGACTGTTGCAAGAGGGTCATAAATCGATTGGCAATGCATTTATATTAGATCGCGTGCACGTCTCCTGAAATTAGCGGCCTTCGTATGATGATCGCGTGGTCATTCAGGAAGCTTGGATATATACGTATCTAACGGGCGACAAGTGCAGCAAGTATTCAATGCAGCGCGATCTGAATTAAATCTCCCAAATTAACTTTTGACCGACGACAATTTGTCACTGACAGACGGACGATATACGAGCTGGATTCGCGCAAGCTCGGAAGCGTGTAAATCGCGAGGGCATGAGGTAGTCCACGTTGATAAAACACCTTACAAATATCTCACAGGTTCTTAATTTATCGGTTTAGGGATCGGATAGATTTGTGGATTCTACCTTCGTGCGTGACATTCACTACTTTATCCAGCAGTCGCGAAGCTATCTCGTTATCATGACGAGTTGTGTTTCTATTTAATCCTCAGCAATACACATTGTGATAAAACTTTTCAATTATTTTGTTAACTAACAATAAATGAAAAAAAGAAGAAGAAAGGAAGAGAAAGTTTCAAAACTGTAATTGATTTATAGTTCAAAAGCTACAATTAAAAAAATAATAATGGCGCTATTTATGCAATATTACTTGAATTTGTGATTCACGCGAAAATTTAACTTAGAACGCAGATCTATCTTGCGTAAATATTCAATTCGCGAGAAATGCCGCGCAAACATCGCCGTGATGACCGACCTTAAAAGGAGCTTCGAGAAGATGACGCTCATGATGCCGTACTTTCAGTACTCTTGAAACACGCTCCGGAATTAGATCCATTTCTGCTCTCATCAACAAATATGTATGACGTACGTACGCGCGAGTCATGATACCTTCATAGTTTCAATACAAGAACGCGGATATGTACTTGTAATGGAAAGTTCCTTCCTTTCTTATTACTTAAGAAACACATTCACTAATTTAAAAATTGCTCCCTTAATAATGCTTTATATTTTGGTGGAGTTCAAAATCAATTAATTCTTGGAATATTATAATCATTAATTCAAAAAATTTTTAGAAAAAAATTTTGAAAAATATTAATTGTTAAATTTAAATTATTCTAAAATCATACATCTTTTCTCACACTCAAAGAAGACACTTATTTTTAAATTCTTGTTTTCTCTTTCGATCTTTACATCAAATAATTTTTGCTGGAATTGCTTATCATTTTCGATTCAAATTTAACTTCGTAAATTTTGTAAATAAAGTACACACAATGTAAACAATATTGTAGGGGATATATTTTCAATATCTATAGTTTCAAGCAAGAAATTTTTAAATGTTAAAGTTTTAAAATAAGAAAATCCCCTTAAAAATTCTTTTCTATTTGTCTACTTGTGATTTGAAAAAGAACTGACTGGAATAGAGGAATTCAGTTTTACGAGATCTGTGACTGAAATCTTTAGGATAAACTTAGAGATCCGGAGTTATAAATATACTATTTAAAATTCCAGGAGTCGTATAACGATCATCGCATATGTGCAGATTCCATAAATTATCCTACCGACTAACTCTCCACGTGGCAACGACCCATCCGCGAAATCTATCATTCTCTTTGCCACTTGGAATGAAAAAAAAAATTGCATCAGAAATGCAATAAAACACAATCAATAGAAGCAGTGAAATACAGCCTAATCTAGAACAATACACGATATCAGAGGTCGACCATGTGCGTACATACTATAAAAATAATCTGTAGGAAATGAAGGGTCATTCATTCATCTGACACAATAAAAAATTGAAGTTTATATTAATATTTTAATAAAACAGCAAAGTATTTTCATAAACATATCAAAAAAATAAATTTTGAGAGAATTTTTCCTTGACATTAAACTATTTACCACGAGATTCTAAAAGTCATTATCTACCAATTTTATTATTTTTCCTCTATTAACAGAGTTTTATGGAGATGTTTTCTCTTAGAAATGTGTGACGCAGATATCTAAAGTTGGACACGATCTTGTTTATAGGATATATATGTATGTATGTACATAATCGCATTTAGAATTTTCGATATATAAGAGCGGTATTCCTCCTAATGAAGTACACGGCGTTCGACACGGCCTTCGTTTTTGGCACGCCACACCAGATTTCAAAGTAATTAGGCGAATATGTGTTGACGGACTTATGTAACTAAAGCCAAATTAAAGTCATAAAATCGCTCGAATGACATATCAAGCTCATTACCTAATCTAATACGCAGTACTGGAAATTAATGAAGTCTTTCGCGCAATTGTTTCTGCAAAGTAACATGAATATGCAATCTAATAATTAATTTAAGAGAACTCACATTAAATACATACATACGTTAAAATCAGAGCACGTATACCTACGTATATTCAACGTTATAAATATCTTGATGCATAAGTTATTAATGCACATAAATTGGAGAACACATGTCCAAAATTAATACAACTTCTAAAAATAATTCTAGAGTTTGTTTTAAATTTAATTTAATATAATGCTCATATTTATGCCAATTTTAGTGTTTCTTTTTTTTATCTATATTATGTGTAAGCAAACTATGATCTTAAAAAAAGCGTGATAAACTATTATATCACAATTATCAATCTCGAAATTAAATAATTATTATGCAAGCTTATTACAATAGTGCGGACAAATTTTACAAAGAGATAAAAATAAAAAAGCTCAACAATTTATTTGTGCATTATTACTATTATGTCAAAATGTAAAACTTTGTCTGCGTTAATTAATTTAACATTGTATCTATCATGTAATCTATTATTTATTTTCCAATCTTTAATTTATCGGCGAGCTTGTACGTCCGACACAACTCTAAACATGTTATATAAATATAATTTAAATATAATGAGTACGTTTAAAGTTAATTTAATTTTATATGTTAATGTATTCGTGACATCAAGCTTGAAAGATCACTCATAAAACTTTCGCACGTGCGTCAACGTGAATGCACGCGCCATTGACCGATGTCAACGATACGTGGGTGTCAAGTAAGACGTTGGTATTCGAATCTTTTCTCTGTCACAATCTTGAAGTGTTTGGCACTGGTTTCTGTCTCTCGTATTAGTCATAGTCAGTATTCACGCGACTAACGATTTGTCCACCTCTACATCTGCATCTATACTCATTTCTGCTTCCAATCTATTTTTTAAATTTCGATATAATAAATAGAATTCTAACTTTTCCAAAAAATGTGAAATTCTTAATAGGCCACAATAGAATTTTGGTATATAATACACATAATAATAAAAGCAAAAAGTAAAATAATTATAATAAATGTTAAAAATATAAATATGCTTTATTTATTATTTATTATTTTATTTAAAATATAATTTAGTTTTTGCGATTTAATATTTTGTATTCTTTCATTTGTCTTTAAAGAAAAACTGATAGTAAAAAAAATGTCATTTTACCCCATTAAAAATTTCTAAGCTAATCAATCTCTATGGAAATACAAAAACAATGTATGATTCATTAATAATTAATGTAATAAAATATAGATTCTTAGGCTTATTTTGTTTATCATGGGGCAAAAATATATTTAGAGGATTCATGGGATCCGACAAATGTGCATCTGTTGTAAAAGAAGATCGGGTCATCGAACACAGGAAAGGTCGTAATTTATTTGTCTGTAGCCTTGGTCAGACGCCAGACATGACCTCGTTCGACATGATGTCTTTCTTTCTCGTTTGACAGTTCAAAGTACGACATTTGGCGTTTGTCGTGAAAATTTTAAAGACACTCTTTAAAATAATTCCAAATCATTTCTCTTTAAATTAATTTCAAAAAAGTAAAATCTAAAAGCTAATCTAGGTACCTTTGCTATACTTAGCAAATTCATAAATATTTACGAGATGCAGAGAACCTCTTCATTATATACTTAAGAACATGGAAGACTACATAATATAATTTAATAAATAAAAATAACTATGTATATGTATAAGACAATGTTACAAGTCAATACACAAAGGATTGAAGAAAGTAGGTTACCTTAACATAAACGATCGATCTGCATAAAATAGAACATGCCATTAACATACGCGCTCAGTTAAAAGCAGAGTACCAGGAAATATCCACGACTTATTAAATCGCGTTAATCGAAAGTCTAGTTACATTCCCAAGTTGTTGGCAATCTCTGCAGCTTAGAACACTTAT